TCACAAAAATAGGGTAAAAAAATAAACAAACCAAAAAAACAGGTTCACTATACAGACATTGTGTTGTCAGTACAACCCTCAGAATGACCTCTGTTGCTCTGAGTTTTGTCTCCTGGTCATTTCTAATGCACCTGAGGGTTGCTGTGAATCGCTTCAGCAAGCAAAAGCAGGATCATGTGGCTCCTAGCCTGTGTTTTCCTATTGATCATAATATTAGGACAGTTTTGTCACTTGTTCTCAGTTATGGGTAATTAGAGAATCTGTTTTCTTTCCTTGCCCAACTTCTGGAGGCTTCCTGTATTCCTTGGCTGGTGGGCCTTCTCTGGTCAAAGCCAGGAATGGCAGCATGGTCCTCAAGTGGCATCACTCTGACCTCCTCTGCCACCTGTTTTCCATTTTAAAGGACCCCTGTGATTACATTGAGCCCACTCAGTTACCCCAGGATAATCTCCTTATTTTAAGGCCAGTTGATTAGCAACCTGAATTCCATCTCATTTTCTCTTTGCCACATTAGTAATATATATACAAATTCTTGGATTTAGGATGTGGCTTTTTTGGGGGTGGAGGGTGTTGGTATTATTCTGCCGACTCTAGCTTCTTATTATGGACTAGAAGACCGGTGCACGAATTCGTGCACCAGTGGGGTCCCTCGGCCTGGCCTGCAGGATCAGGCTGGAACCATCTCTCCAACATCCCCCGAGGGGTCCTGGATTGCAGGCTAGGCCAAGGGACCCCACTGGTGCACAATCAGGGCCAGGGAGGGGTGCGAGAGGTTGACCAGCCGGGGATGGGCCACGGGAGGGCTTCAGGGCATGTCCAGCCCATCTCTCTCAGTCCCCATCGGCCAGACCCCAGCAGCAAGTTAACCTACCATTTGGAGCGTCTGCCCCCTGGTGGTCAGTGCACATGATAGCAACTGGTCAACCAGTCGACTCTCTGCCCTCTGATGGTCAGTGCGTGTCATAGTGAGTGGTTGAGCAGCCTTAGCATATCATTAGCATATTATGTTTTGATTGGTTGAACGGATGACCAGACATTTAGGCTTTGATTATATGGGATTAATTGGTTGCTTGCATTCATATAGATGGCAATTCAGTGAATGTCTTCATACGTCAATCTCTGTGTATCTCTGGTCAATCCATGGACCAGCTTTCTGTGGTTAGAATATTTCAAAATGATAATTTTAATATGTTTGACAAAGATGTTCAAATTACTGACACTTCAGTCTTGGTTGGGTAGGAGAACAGAAGGCAAGTTTAGTGCCAAAGAGAAATTTTTAGAGCTGGGAGGAGACCAGTTTGTCCCTTTGCAGTATTCCTGTTAGAGTGTAAGGTCCTGTCTCTCATTGTAGCCTTATTCTCTGTGCCTTCTGGCACATGTAGTACGTGTTTGCTGGTGTATATTTGCTAGATAAATGAGTAAGGAAATGAGTGTATACACTTAGGACCCACACACACGCATCCACGTGCATTTCACCATTAAACTCCTTCCTTCACTTTGTTTCTTTCCCAATATAAAATCTCAATGGATGTTCTGTCTGAATTACTAACCATGGTTAATTTTGCAGCATTTGGAGTGTGGACAGCTGTTCTGGTTTTAAATGTAATACCGCCTCAACATCATTGAAATGGGGGACATTTATTCTCATATAAAGTGTTTAAGATGGATGGTTTCAACTGTTCTGTCTTTGCTAATGATAACGGCTAAATCGGTGTCCTGTGTTTTCTCTTGCTTTGTGTGTACTATTTTAACCCTTTTCGGTCCAACCTCGAGGCTGACTCGACAGACCAGGCACTAGGAGCAGGTCCAACGTCGAGCAATAAGAACATTAAAAAGTTCAACATTCAATCCTGTCAATTAATTTGGACCAGTCTGTTTGAATTCCAAAAATAACATTGGCCCGCAAAGGATTAAAATCTTTGCCAAACCCAAGATCATTAAGATTTTCTCCTATGTGTTTTTCTAGAAGTTTTATAGGTTTTTAGCTTTTTTGTTGTTGTTAATCCTCACCTGAGGATACTTTTCCATTGATTATTAGAGTAGAAGGAAGTGGTGGGGGGGAGGAAGGGGAGACACACACACACACAGAGAAACATCAATGTGAGAGAGACACATTGATTAGTTGCCTCCTGCACACGCCTGGCCTGGGCTGGGGATTGAGCCTGCAATCAAGGTACAGTGCCCTTGACTGAAATTGAACCCAGGACCCTTCAGTCCATGAGCCAATGCCCTATCCACTGAGCCAGACCAGCTAGGGCTAGGTTTTAGCTTTGACATTTAGGCCTTTAATCCATTTCAATTTAAATTCTGGAGATGTTGTGAGGTGTAAAGGTCAAGGTTCACTTTTCATGACTCAGTCCTTGGATCTCTTTTTGTGTATACACTCTCTTGATGAGCTTATCTAGTCACATGGGTTTGCATACCATCTGTATATTGAAGTACTATATTGACTTCCAATTCACATTTCCATCCTGGACTGCTATCCTGAATTCATTCAGTTTCAAAAATACAGCTACCTAGTCAGCATTTCCCTGGGTGTTCCCTGGAAGGCATCTGAAACTGAGCTCTTCATATCCACCTTTCCCTCCTCCACATCTGGCCTTTTTTTTATTGTGTTGAGGTAAACTGATCGATTTCTATCTTTGAAAAGGAAAGAACTCATATTTCTTCTTTCATACTCACAACACTTCTCACACACTTGGGACACCACATGAGTGGGCTTTTTCCCACACTGTCTGATTCTCGACGCCGGCTGGGTGTCCTACAATTCAATTCAGTTCTGACACTGTGGACCCCACCACCATCACCACCTTCAGACACCAATTGAAAGTCCAGGTTTTCACTTGTTTTTCTGATGGACTGGCTATAAATCAAGGGTTCTCACAACCCCTCCTCGGATTCAATCACTTGGCTAGAGTGGCTCACAGAACTCAGGAAGAGTTTTCCTACTAGATTCCCAGTTTATTACAAATATAAAAGGCTACAGATGAACAGCCAGATGAAGAGATACTAGTACATAAGGCGGGCTTTGGGAAGGTCCTGAGCACAGAGCTGCTGTCCGCAGCACATGGAGGGCGTGCTGCCCTCCTGGCACATGGGCGCGCTCATCAGCCCAGAAGCTCTCCAAACCCCGTACTTTAGGGGGTTTTGTGGGGCTTCATTACATAGGTCTGATTGATTATTGTCCATTGGTAATTAGTTCAGCCTGTAGCCCCTCTCACCATACCCCACTTTATGATAATGAGATTTTTGGAAAGTCCCTAGAGAACCACAGGATGAGGTTTGGTTGCCACCAATCTCATTATCATAAAGTGGAGTATGGTTGAAAGGTCTCATTATGAACAACAACAAAAAATACTCCTTTTAGCTCTGGAATTGTTTCAGATGTACACCAAGAGACCAAGTATTATAACAAAAGATGTTCCCATCCTCTTATCCTTTAGGAAATTACAAAGGTTTTAGGAGCTATGTTCCCAGAGTGAGGATGAAGATCAATTATATTTTCCTTATTATAAACCACAGTATTACAATCTTCTTACAAATTCCAAATCAGTGGGTTCTAAATAAGTGAAATTTTGTTTCACTAAGAAAAGTCAGTGTTGATTAAAGATTTGACTGTCAAATAGGTAACCTTGGATTTCACTGAAATTGAATGAGTACTATTCTGTGTCAGACAGTGTGCTGGGTAGTATCCCATTTCATTTAACCCTTACAACAGCACAGCAGATTCCGTTGGTAATGGCATCCCTGATAAACGGATAAAGACCTTGGCCAATGAAGTTAGAAGTAACCTGTGCCTGTGTCACAAAGACACTAGAAAGTGGTACAACTAAGATTGGCACACACACTCCTCTCCTATGGGCTTTCACCCCCCAGCAGGGCAAGCACTTGCTTCTCAGGCCTCATTTTCTAACGTTACATGGCCAAGCTTTTATTTGTTAAAAAAAAAAACACTAACTAAATTTGGAGATCAAATGGGCTTTACTATGTAGTTCATGAACTGAGCAGCATCCCATCTAGCAATTAGGAGGCCATTCAAGTGGATTGTACAAAATGGAAGGATTTTGTAGACAGAGTTTAGAACTAATAAATTAAGAGTAGATTATTTCCGGCAAGGACACTTACCTCTAGGGAAAGGCAGGGGTCTTATCAGGCAGAACACCTCACTGGTGTGGATCAGGAAATTCCTGGCTGATTGGTTTAAAATTCCATCCTGGGAGAGGCTGAAACTGCAGGTAGGTTAGGTTTTGCATCTAGCCTAAGTGACAGCCATCTTGGGCCTGTGGTTTTTCTTTTTAATACATTGTAGAACAGTCCCCAGGGGTGTGGATTTTGAGAGGAGTGATTCTCTGGGGCCATTGTAATAGTCCACTGTAATAGGATACTTCACTCGTCTCCTAAATTGCCATCCAGAAACCTGCTTTTCCTGTGATTGTCCTGTTTCCTTAATAAGTGTCTCTACGTTGAGGTTCACCATCCTTTGATGTCTATACTTGGTATAGAGTGTATGTCATTAGTAATTTGTATATAATTTTTCCTGTTTAGTATTTGATTTTGAATATCCTTAGTTTGAGAGGGTATTTAATGATATTTTTTAATTAATGCCCTCAACATTGTTTGAAAATGGCTAACAGAGTACAGGCATGCCTTGGAGATAATGCAGGTTCAGTTACACACCACTGCAATAAAGCAGGTCGTAATCTTTTTGCTGGTGGAGGGTCTTGCTTTCAGTTTGTAAAATACGCAACATCTGTAAAGTTCAGTAAAGCTGCCCATAATAAAACAAGGTATGCCTGTACATATTTAGCTTCTTAAACTGATCTGTCCCCTGTAGGGAAATTAAAAGTCATCAAAGGCTCAGACCCTGCAAGACAGTGTACAGTAGGTATATGTGAACTACTTTGCATTATTAAAACAGCTTTTCCTGAGGAGAGAGATATGTGAGACAGTTCGTTGTCATTGGTGTTAATGCGTGGTCTTGTACTCTGCCCTGTTCACAGGTGAAAGTATTGCACAACCAGCTGGTCCTTTTCCACAATGCCATTGCCGCCTACTTTGCTGGGAACCAGAAGCAGCTTGAACAGACCCTTAAACAGTTCCACATCAAGTTGAAAACGCCTGGAGTGGATGCCCCATCTTGGCTTGAAGAACAGTAAAATCACTCCTGGAAACAAAAACAAACAAAAAAAGGAAAGTCACATGGTTCTATTTCTAAACAAACCTAATAAGAGTGAAGCACAGTTGGGAGAAGAGAAACGGGGTGACAACCATTGTAGAGATTCTCACACAAACAGCTTTAATTTTTCCCTTTTTCATACTTTAACAATTGAACTGTTAAATTTGATGGGAAGGTGGGCGGTTTTAACGAAAACATAATTTCTATAATCTGAACACAATAATTTTTCTTTTTGAGAAGTCCTTTTGTATTATAAGGGTTGATGGCTATTTCCGTAGTTTGAAAACATCTAATATAGATTTGCACTGACCGGATCAAAATTCAAGGATTTTGGTCCTGGGAATGAGGGCCAGTTGTAACTTTTCCAATGGGAGGTTTACATGATTTGTATCAACATCAGATATTTTATATATGAATATATAAAACATCTTTAAGAGATTCATTTTCATGTATTGTCTTAAAGAAAGAAGAGACTATTTTGCAGAGTAAAATTATTTGGTGTTCCTACAGCATCCACGATAGGCTGGCAGCCGCTCTAATGACTGACTGATTAGCTTGTGGAGTTTTGGCAAATACCTTTTTAAAAATGAATCTGTACCATTGTACTTTTGTTTAGACTTTTTTTTTTTAAGATGCAGGAATCACACTAATTTCTATGAGGCTTTTGAGCTTATGAATATGCATCATCCAAAGTCAGAGGGTGGTTATGTTAGCAGTCTTTTGATTCATGATGAAACCTGCTTAAGAAAAAAAAATTTTTTGACAGGTGGACTTGGGAATAGAAATTCTTGATGGTTTCTAGAGTAGAAATATGTGCTCAGAAAGCTAGTTTTTGGGTAAAATCTATTTTGACAGAAGTGAATTCCTAGACAGCTTTCATTGACTTCCATATGTAACAATACCGGTTAAGCCTTAAATCACAGATATGTGCCTTCTCAGATACAGTAATTCTCATTCAACCAATGTACAGAATCCATAAGGAAACCCCTTTCAGATAATGTTTGACCTGTCTGTTCCTTCCTTGGAAAGGAGCATTGTGTATACATGTTGGGTTTCTTTGTACGCATTAAACCACATTTAGGGTTTAAGGTGAAATCAACTTCTGAATACACTATTTGGTTTTTCTTCATTCCTTTTATGGAATGGGGAGACAGGAGTTTTTTCATGAGTAATGGAAAGGCAGTATGGGCAGAGTGGTGGTAAGAACAAGGGGGACTGGAAAGGCCAGCACTAATTTAGTTGCTCAGCACAGTTGGTTTTGTGTTCATGTGGTTGGCCTGTCCACTGTGTGGTTCAATCAGTAATGTAATCCTTTTTCAGTATAAGTTTTCTTGATTTTTGTCATAGACATAAATTAATATTTTGAGAGGTATTCCTTCACCTGTTCTTTTGTGTTGAAATGAAGTACTTAAAATTACTGTTATATATGAACTTGTGGACTGTAAGATTTGTTATATATGTTCAAATGCCTTTTAGCTGGCTTTTTAAATAATATGCCTGTTTTCAGTGCTTAATACAATGTAATGTGATTGTAAATCATAAACCTATTTTAAATCATTCCCTCCTGTATATTTGTACTCCTGAGAGCCTTATTTTATTCTTCCAGCAGAATTACTACTTGTGATAGTTCATTTACATTCCCCAGAATGTGCCTCTGGTGTGAATTTTGTATTCTTATTAAAAGTGTTTGCTGCAGTACCTTGTTTCTCTGGCTCTTCGTCATTTAAAATAAGAAGCAACTTTTGGAAACTCTGAGGACATAGGACATATTATTAGGTGTTTCTGTAATTGTTTTATCTCAGTAAGTTATTTTTTTCCCCTCAATTGAAATCTCTTTAGGGAGAACATACCCACTTTTACCACATTTTAATAACAATTACAGTAGCTAAGGAATTAAGTAGTTTTATGGGTTGATGATTTTTCAGAATAAACTAAAGATATTAGTGATTCAGAGACATGGGTACATGTGCAAAAGAAATAAGTAAATTAACATAGCCACTTTGTTAAGTAATTCGTATTCATTGTAGAAAAAAATAGAAATTAATTTCAAAAAATTAAAGATAAAATAAATCACTTGCCAAAATAAATCACTTGCCAAGTTAGTAAGTATTGCATGAAACTACCTAACTCTCCTGAAGTTAGATGTTTTAGTTAACAATTATAAAGTTAATTTGAATATGTATACATTCATCTTTGTACTCTTACCTGGTTATTCCCTTGGTTGGATGTTAGAAGTAAAAATGAGCTTTCAAAATATATACAAACTTTTAAGACTATGTTATATATTGCCAGTTGGCTTTCAAGAAAGATTTTGCCAATTTACACTTCCAAGAGCATAAACATGTCCCTGGTTAGCATATTTTTAAAGCCAGTATGCATAAAAGGGCATAATGCTTGTAATCAGCAGAACAGCACTTTATAAATGTTTTAAGTAGAAAGGGAAAAGCAGCCAGGAAGATAAGACTGAACAGTCAGGATTTGGGAAATTGTGGGGTATGGGACAGAGAAATAGCTGACTTTTCTCTTATTAAAGTAGACATTATTCAGGAAAAAATTGCACTTGAAGAGACAACACAACAATAGCTGTCCAATGTTAATGAATCCAAATTATACCTATTTTTTTCAAATCAGCAAAAATATATCTTTTGGTATGCCACAGAATTTTAGTAATTAGTTTGTGTGTGTCATGAGATGGAAATGGTTGAAAAATGGCTGCCATAGACTGAAATAGAAGGTTTCTTAGAGATTATCTGATTAACATCCTTTTTTGCAGATGAAGACATGAAGGCCTGGCAAGTGCCTCGGTTGCATACTCGATTCCCCGGCTCTGGTTGGGGCACATGCGGGAGGCAAGCAATCGATGTGTCTCTCTCACATCAATGTTTTTCTTTGTCTCTCCCCATCCCTTCCACTTTATAAAAATCAAAGGAAAATATCCTCAGGAGAGGATAAACAAAAAAGAAAAAGGCGTTACTTCTAAAGTTAAATACAATGTATACTCAGTGTCTTCTAAATTGAAAAAATTCATTCACCCCCAAATGGAATAATAATATTAGCTACATTTCAAAGTATTCATATAGCAAAGTGTTCATCCTTTCAATCCACTGACCTTTAATTTAGAGTATTCTGAAAAAGAAATCCTATGAAGGGTGAAAAAGATGAAGAGATTAAGTAAAAAAAAAACCACTCATAGACACAGACTACAGCATGGTGATTACCAGAGGGAAAAGAGGAGGGCAGGGGGAGGTAGGAGAGAATCCTATATAATAAAAGCATAATACCCTAATTAGACCAGATGTCCTTCCGGACGAAGCCGGGGCTGTGAGGGCCGAGGCAGAGGCAGCCGCCGCAGTGGAGGGGGCCAAATCCCTTGCACGATTTCGTGCATTGGGCCTCTAGTAAAGAATAAAGGGGGATAAATGGTGACTGAAAGAGGTGGACTCAATATACAATATACAGATGATGTATTATAGAATTGTACACCTGCAACCTATGTAATTTCATTAACCAATGTTACCCTAATAACTTCAATAATTTTTTTTAAAACAAAATTAATCTTCATAGTTCCTGGACATGGAATATATTTCCATTTATTTATCTATTCTTTAATTTCAGCATGTCTTATTTTTTTATTGTATAGATCATTATGTTTCTTAAATTTATCTTCAAGTATTTTATTGTTTTCATATCATGAATGGAACTGATTTTATTATATCTTTATCTGATAGTTTTAAGCATGCAAATACACAACTGACTTTGTTTCTTGATTTTGTATCCTACAACTTTATTGAATTTTTTTATTCATTCTACTAGTGTTTGGTGGAGTCTTTGTGATTTTTTACATATAAGATTATTGTATCTGCAAAGAGATCATTTAACTTGTTCCTTTCTAATTTTCATGCCTTTTTTTTTCTTCTTGCCTGGTTGCTCTCATTAGGACTTCCAAGGTGATGTTGAATAGGAGTGTGAGAGTGGTTACCCTGGTCTTGATCCCAACCTTAGAAGAACAGCTTTCAAATTTTCTCCATTGAGCATGGGCTTTGGGCTTTCACGTATGACATTTATTATGTTGAGGTATATTCTTTCCACAATTTGTTGAGAGTTTTATCATGAAAGAATATTGAATTTTGTCAAATGTTTTTTTCCTTCATCTTTTATTTCCATTATTGTGATTTATCTTACTTATTGATTTGTGTATCCTGAGCTATCCTTACATCCTCAGAAAGAATTCCATTTGATCATGGTGTATGATACTTTCAATGTACTACTAAATTTTGGTTGATAGTAAAAAAGAAAAATGACGTGAACCCCAAAAGTGTTACATAAAGTAAAATTATGTATATTGAAAAGCTAAAGATAAATGTCTTTTAATCATGGGACTGTTGACTTGAAGAATAATGTATCTACCTCAAAATGTGCCCAGGCTCCATTTGTCTTCACTGGAGATGACTAAAGGTGTGAAAAACAAGAGCAAATTATTATTATTATTATTATTATTATTACTTTTAGAGGAAGAGGGAGAGAGAAACATTGATTGGTTGTTGCCTCCCATACACACCCGACCTACAACCTTGGTATGTGCCCTGACCAGGAATCAAACCTGTGACCTTTTGGTTTACAGGACAACTCTTCAACCAACTGAGTGAGCCACACCAGCCAAGGCAAAAGCAAATTATTTAAATTGGTAGTTAATTGCAACATTTGTATATAATCTGTGCTAATTTTTGTGAAGTATTAAGAATGTTTTATTTTGTAATAATATTCCTATATATCTCCTGTCAGTAGCGCTTTTTTTGAAACTTTTGGGTCGCCTGGGAGAGTTGAGACCATCTGAGAGCCTTCATCAGTAAATTTCATCAGCAAAATTTAGGCATTTAAAATCTGATTCCCTCTGTAATATTACAGATTATGATATTGGCAAAGACTATCCATTTCTGAATAGGCTATTTTCTGATCAAAAGACCAGTAATAGCCCTGGCCAGTTTTGCTCAGTGACAAAACTGAGGGTTTGATTCCCATAAGGGCACATACCTTGGTTCTTGGTTGCAGGTTTGATCCCCCATGCAATGGGGGCCACGTGGATGCAGGAGGCAACCAATTGAGCTCTCTCTCACACATCAATGTCTGTCTGTCTCTCTCTCTCTCTCTCTCTCTCTCTCTCCTCCCACCCTCCTCCCTTCCTTCCACTCTCTCTAAAAAAAGAAATCAATGGAAAAAATGCCCTCGGGTGAGAATTAAAAAAAAAAAATAGACCAGTAATTTTTGGCATTAGTTCAAAGCATTTCCAAGGGCCACAGGTCCTTTACTATTTTTACAATATAGCAAGACCTATTAAGATAGAACGACAATACAAACAGTTTTCCTCTTTTGAGGACTTTCGTTAAATCTGTTCTATGCTCCCACTTGAAGGTTTCCTGCTCAACAGGTTTCCCGGCATCAATAGGCCTTTATAATAAATTGCCAAGTGGTCCTCCTAATGTACAGCAAACTATGAACTTCAGCTTTGTTTTTGCGAAATAAAGGTCGACTCTTAGTAGTTATATAAATGGAGAACTACTTGTTATTCTGGCATTAACTCTGATATGGAAAGAGGAGACTGTTCGTATGAGGAAGGGAAATAAGACTGTTCGTAAGAGGAAGGGACCCAATCTGAGAGATGTAACTCCATTTCTGTGCCATTCATTAATATACTATCAAAGCTGGGAATGTCATAACATTTTTACAAATGGAACTTTCACAAATAAAACCACAGTTTGTCTTGTTTGGGCCTAAGATAGGCTTTGTCATAAGCATCCTCGGTCAAAGATGGTGACCTTTCTGTAACTATGGTTTATCATGAATTGTTGACGAAAGAGGAACAAGATACCATTTTGTTGATCTTAAACAAAAGTAACTTTCCGTGACAAGCTTTCATATTGCTTGCTTTGGGTACAGGTGTATGTGTTTGTATCAATATCTTAGGGGTGATATGTGCACCTTGCTGGCATGGGGGCACATCAGGAAGAAAAATGTAAGCCATGTTAGTCTTCACCACATCTTGGAGCTTTGATTATTGAAGTTCAACTTTTAAAAAAAGCAAACTTGCCCCGTCTGGCATGGGTTCAGTTGGTTTGAGTGTTGTCCTATACACCAAAAAGTCGCAGGTTTGATTCCTGTTCAGGGCACATACCTAGGTTGCTGGTTCCATTCCTGGTTGGGGCATGTGCGGGAGGCAAGCCTCTCTCTCTCTCTCTCTCTCCCTCCCTCCCTCCCTCCCTCTTCCTCCCTCTCTAAAAATCAATTTTAAAAACCTCTCACTGTAAAAAGCTTTTTTTTTCAGAATGGAAAGTATTAAGGGGTAGTGAAAGAGAACTACCTTTAATCTGGTTGGCCTTGCTGAAAGTATTAAGTTTTTAGAATAATGAATAAAATCCTCAAATTATTTATAGATGTGAATTTGTTTTTATTGTCCCCTAAATGATTTCTAAGTCTATATTAGGAAGCTTTTTATGAAAAACTCCAGGTGAAGGGGCATGATGTCTGCAACTTACTTCTAAATGGTTCAGCAAAAATAAACATGTTCATACACACTCAGGGAGAAAGCTGGCAGAGAGAAAAAAAAGGAAGGAGAACAATGTCTTCAGTGTGACAATATATTAGCAATTATTGAAATAGGAGGCTGAATGTGTGGGGTTTCATTGTACTAGTCTTTTAACTTG